CACACACACACACACACACACACACACACACACACACACACACACACACACACACATTCATGTTTCCATCATTTAGACATCACCGTAACCTACATTCAGTTCTTGGAAACTTCTAAAACTGCCTGGCATTCCTTGAAGGACTGCATCTTTAAACTGCTGAGTTAAAGTGAGATCCCTTCGTCATGGAAAGAGGAGGAAGTTGTGACCATTTTAGTTGCATCTTGTAAACAGTTTTGCACAATTTGATGCAATATTGAGAGCTCTTTTGAGATGCATTTACTCTTAGAGAATATGTTTTAAATTTAGCGCAATATCTGTAAAAATGTTCAGAGATTTTAGCCACTTTCACAAAACACTTCAAGTCAGGACTCCAGCAAAAAACACAGCAGGAACCATAAGGTTCTCTCRCTCTCTGTGATGGACTGGGGACGTGTTCAGGACCCTGCCTCTCACCCAGTGACAAATCTGTGACCCTGAACAGAATCGAGCAGACGTTGTTCTCTCGATATCATTCTGATAATCTGTCACAGAATAAAGTCATGTTTAAACAGTCAACACAAATGTAATAAAAGTCACATTTTCAGGTATTGTAGTAAAAAGAAAACAACATAAATCTACCTGTGGAAGGATGGGGTTTCCTGCAGTTTGTATCACTGAAGCTACATGGTTGAAGTGTCCTGGTGGATGAAAGACTCCCAGACCTCCTTGCCAAGCTTGATGAGCCTCTCTCTCACGGGTCAACACTAGCCTGTCATACAACTCCAGGTCATGGGAGGCCACCAAGCTTCTAACCTCTGATAACAAGGACAGCTGGTGGTGGGTATAAAAAAATACATTAAGGAAGTAAGGTGAGTGAAAACTTGAGGGAGAGTGTGGTGTTTCTGTGCAGACAGCTCCTGTACCTTTGCTTGCGTGTTGAAAAGCTCAAACAGAGCCATGGCCAGTGGTTCCACACAGATGTGTCCCTCCTGATACTCCTGGAGGTAGTAGGACATGGTCTCCCTTTCCTGCTCAGTAAGTAGCATGCAGGACTGCTGTTCCAGAGACACCTGAGCTCCAGGTGGGCCAACACATCTGTATCCAGCCTGCTAAAGGACAAAAAATGAGAAGTAAAGTTTGATCTGTGACTTAAGATAACTGAGACAAAACAAAACTAAGAGTTTTTAAATTCTACATAGCCAGTGATGATGTCAAATCCTAAACCCACTCTTTATCATCCACTGCCAAAGGTGAAGCAGAAATGTTCTAAACCTAGTCACCATGGGAGAAATGCCATTTGAGGGTCAGGAATTCAGTTTAGGACTAAGGTTTGAATTAAGTTTAGGTTACATTTAGAGTCAGGTGACCAGTGAGGTTAGATTTAGAGTCAGGTATGTACCTGAGGTTAGGGTTAGGTATGTAAATGTGAGGTTAGGTTAGGTTTAGGGTCAGGTATGTAAATGTTAGGTTAGGATTAGTTATGTATCTGTGAGTTGAAGTTCAGTTTAAATTCAGGTATGTATCTGTGAGGTGAGGTTAGGTTTAGAGTCAGGTATGTATCTGTGAGGTGAGGTTAGGTTTAGGGTCAGGTATGTATCTGTGAGGTGAGGTTAGGTTTAGGGTAGGGGATCAGGGTTAGGCTGTAGATGTAATGGAAGTCAATGCAAAGTCTCCATAAAGGTAGCTGTACAAGATCGTGTGTGCATGCATATGTGTGTGTACTTGTACAGTAAATGCTACATTCAGAGGACCATCAAAAAGTTGAGGTCACAATCCATACTTATGTGATTTTGCTAAACTTGAGTCTATTGTGTGTACAGGTCCTTCTCAAACAATTAGCATATTGTGAAGTTCATTATTTTCTGTAATGTACTGATAAACATTAAACTTTGAAATATTTTAGATTCATTGCACACCAACTGAAGTAGTTCAAGCCTTTTATTTTTTAATATTGATGATTCTGACAAAAAAGGCAAAGAAAAATCAAAAATCCCTATCTCAAAAAATTAGCATATTTCATCTGACCAATTGTTGGAACAATATGCGTTGTTCAAAATGGTATGTCCGAATAAACAGGATTCAGCTGGGTTTCTTCTTCAAAACTTTATTTTCAGTCTTCTGACTCCACTCAGGTTCATTCAGCKCTCAGCAGCACAGGCCTCAGCGTACAACCTTGGACCAAATCAAAACAAACACRGGAGTTCTGCTCTGAGCAGACACTCTGCAAAAACACTGACAACTTCTTTCTACTATAATAATGAATTGACCTTATATTGTTCTTCCCTTCCTGGTTACACCCCAGAGGTGTTACCTTTTACGTCAGA